TAGCGTGTGCCAAGTAAATGAGTCATCAGACTAAGCAGAGCAGAATAACGGGGGGCCTCCCCTGTTCAGCTTTCTGCCTGTGATGTTTTGCAATTCAGAACTTGATTTTTACCTGCAGGCATTCTCTCCACATGCTCGTTGGCTTAAAATACCTAACAGGAGAGTGAGTGGTTTATGGGCTCTAAAACATCATCTGGGCCTTCGTTCTACAGTTTGCTACCTGAGTATTTTTAAACATCTTAACACACACACACACACACACACACACACACACACATTATGCATTTATAGATAGGATATGTATGTATATATACTTTTTAAAAATGTATATACACTTTTTTATCGTGGCTATTGAGCTCTTACAAATAATTTTAGTTGGTCTACTCCTATGGTTATAATAAATTATTTTCATAGATCTCTTCATTAATAATTATCTAAAAAAGTACTTATTGCTGATTATCACGAATTCAGCAGCTTAAAGAAACACCCATTCATTATTCACGGTTCTATAGGTCACACGTGGCATGCCTGGGTTTTCTGCTTAATGTGTCACGTGGCTGAAATCAAGGTGGTGGCTGGGCTGAGCTCTTGCCTGGAGGCTCTGGAAAAAAATCTGCTTCCAAGGGCATCCAGCTCCCCTGTTTTCTTGCTGTCAGCAGCTGGAGGTTGCTCTCGGGTCCTTTCCACAGAGTCCCCTCCACCTTCAAGCCAGTATTAAATGTACACCGAATCCTTCTTGTGTTTCATATCTTCCCTATTGACTTTTCTGGAACCTTCCAGAGAGAGCCCTCTGCTTTTAAAGGTCTCATGTGTATATGTCAGGCCCATAAAGATAATCTCCGTATTGTTAGGTTAACTGATTAGTAACCTTAATCACATCTGCAAAAATCCCTTTTGACCTGTAAAGTAACATAACCATGGGGGCTATCTTAGAATTCTGCCTACCATCCTCACTTTATGTAGAACCGTCAGTGTTATATAGGTTCAGGTTTCAGGTTGAATAACATGACAGAGCATTTGGAACGCTAAATGAATTATATTTAGATTAAATTCCTTTTATTATGAATGAGATGCAAAGGATTTGTGGTACTGGAAAAACACATTTACTTTTTTAAATAAGTCTATATATGTATCAGAAGAAGTACATTTATAAGACATATTTTAAGAAGCTCTTATAAATGCCCAGCATACTGCCTAGAATTCTTTGATTCCATCAGGTGATAATGAGCAGCGTTATCTTCCTCAACGCATGCTATTAACCATGGTCTTGGTCATACACTAATGATACAAACTAGGAGACTTCAGAGCTAAGAGATCAGAGATCATCTGTCATCCTCCCCTTTTCTGTAAATGAGGAACCAGAGACTCAGAGAGGGGATATGACTCAGAGAAGGCCACAGGGCCAGCTAATTAGTGGTAGGGATTGGCCTAGAATACATGCTTACTGATTCCCTACCTGGTAGTAATAACAGTGTCATTAATTGAAGATTTTCTATATGATAGGTACTACCCCAAGCACTTTAAATATATTATTTTCTTTAATCCTCACAAAAGCTCTATGAGGTAGACATCATTATTATTATCAATGCCATTTCAGTTTGAAAAAACTGAGTCATGGGTAACTAGTCAGCATCACCCAGCTGGTACGTGGTCAGAGAGACAGTTTGACACCAGACCTGACCTCTTCACTGTGCTTGCTCCTCCCGCCACCAGCTGCTGTAACAGGGCCTCTCACACAGTGCAGAGTTAGCTCAATGCCGTCTCCATTGTCAGCTGCACAGGCTGCCCATTGGTTATCTGACAGTCAATCGGTGAATAGCAGGGAATTTGAAGTCTGGGAACTGTGCGCACACTCTGGTCCTGTCATGTTCTATGTGGTGTCAGGGATCTGTGTAACCCTCTGGGGACTCGGATGCTGTATCTGTAAAATGGGATCCCTAGAGTTGTTCTGAAGAGGATGCATGTAGACAGCAATCTGTAAACAGGAGGACCCCATGCTCATTGTATTGTTGCTCTTTGACAAGTGATGGCTGATTCTCATCACCCTGTAACAGCAGATTTTCTCCTCGCTGTTGCTGTGAGAGACTCAGACATTACACGTAAAACAGTTCATCTTTGCCATTGCGAGGGCTTTGTCCTGAGACCTTTAGGAATCTCGTTGCTTTGAAAGTCATGTTTCCTGTACATATCCTCACTCCACATTTTCAGACTTAACGGAGGTTGTATATCTCACTTGGCGGTCATTGTTAACAGGGCATTCTTCGCAGGAAGTGAGCAGGAAAGCTGCATGAGCAGGACTCAGGCCTTGGCCTGGCTCCCTCACGCCAGCCCAGTACCTTCCATGATTCCAGTTCACACCTGGACAAAATGTTATTGCTTTTTGATGTGGCCATTTGGGAATTGCTCTCAATAAAGTCATGCATATTAAATTGATAAATACCAAGATCTACTTTTCCTCCCTATCCTTTTATTTTAAACACTTTAACCTCTTTGTTATATGTATTTTTTTTGCTATACCATTGTAAAATAAATTGCAAGTAATATAACATTGCAGGTATAAATATTTCCTGTAATAAATAAGGACATCTTTTATAAGACATGCCATGATCTACCTAGGAAAATTAATAATTTCCTTATCTCATTTAACAGCCAATCTATACTCAGATTTTCCCTACTTGTTCCTAAAATTGCTTTTAGAGTGTTTTGCTTTTATGGTTTCTTGTTTTTGGTTCCTCCCCAACCCCCCAAAAAATTTAAAGCAATCACTCACAGCTTTTAATAGTTACATCTCTGATATTTTTTAAATCTGGAACAATTTACTCAACCTTGTTAGTTTGTTTATTTTCATGATATTAGCTATTTTAAGAGATTAGGCCAATTCTCTTGAATGAAATCCCATGTTCTGGGTTTGTCTGATTTTTTTTAATTGTCATTTATCTTTTTACCCTATCTTCTGTATTTTTGAAAACTAGAAGTTGGTTCCAAAGATCTGATGAGAAACCGGTTGTATATGTTTGTTCAGAACAACTCAATAGGTGATATTGTGTAGGTTGTATCAGGAAGCACATATGATTGTCCTGCTATTACTGCTGCTAAATTTGACCACTTGATTGCAATGGTGATAGCCAGGTCTCCCAGTGTTAAAGTGTGTTTTTCCTTTAGCAAGTAGAACTAATCCATGGAAAGATTTTTTTTTTTTTGGCTCATATGAATAGTTAGTGATGTTAGCATTCATCAATGTGCCTTATTTGAATCATTCATTCCATTGGAGGTTACAAATTGGTAATTTTAAAAATTTATTCCTTTTACATTTCATATATAGTTGATTTCAGAGAGGAAGGAAGAGGGAGAGAGAGATAGTAACACAAATGGTGAGAGAGAATCATTAATTGGCTACCTCCTGCCCACCCCGTACTGAGGACTAAGCCTACAACTGGGCATGTGCCCTGACTGGGAATGGAACCGTGACCTCCTGGATAATAGGTCAATGCTCAACCATTGAGCCACACCAGCTGGGCTCCTTTTACATTTCTTAACGAACATTCCTCTGTCAAGAAGAGCTTTCTCTCATCAACGGGGGATACTTTGTATTATCTTAAGTTCATATCAGTACAACATGTTTATTATCAATTATTTTAGATATCAACCTTAGATTATGGAACTGAGCTGGAAATGAGTCATAACTGTTACTTTATTATATACTTTTTAAAGCATTTTGATGTACATTAAAGGTGGAAGTGGAGAATAGATAAAATTTAAAACTGTGTTTCAAATGGTGAACAAATACTACGAGAGGTTTGGTGAAAGGAATTTCATCAAGTCACTGGCAATGTCAGCAAATATGTGTTGATCTAAAATGAATTCATTAATATCAGACACTAAAAGAGCTTATTGAATCCCCAAAATGCTAATGATATGCATGGTCAATGTCGATAAATATTTAGACCTCACAAGAAGTAAAGTATTACAGATCATTTGGACTATCACCCTGTTGTCCCAGCTTTGGTAGTCTCTCAACGCCGCATGCCAGCATGCAAGGCCCTTTATCATTTGCCCACCCCCACCATTACTCCTCCATATGTTTTGATTATTTGCACCATCCCTCAGCGGCACATCCTCTTCACACCTTTGTCCATGCTCGTTCCCTCGGCAAAGGCACTGCCTTCTTGCTTCTCCTTGGGCCCCAACCTGCCCATTTTGCAAGCTCAGCTCAAATTCCACTCCCTCTGTGAGGACGCTCCTTCCTCCCTGACCTCTCAGATAGCACTCCTCACCTCTGTCACATCTGTGGTACTTGACTCCGTTTCCTATTTGGTCTTTTAATTGACTTCTATAAGTAAACCTCATATCCAAACTGATCCAAACTGCTGAAGGTCCTTGAGGACATGACTTACCCATGACCAGATATTAAAAAGCTCTTTTTACCGGACATTGCTGGGTTTTTGTTTTCCTTTGGGAATCTCTCTGAAAGTTACCAACAGATGGGGAACTATTAGCAAACAAGGCTATCTCCCTTGGATAGCTTTCCTTGCCTTCTAACATCAATCATCTTGCAAAACACAGGATTCCATGTGAAAGTTAAGGCTAGCATTGAGTATTACTCACCACCGGCTCTTTGGAAATCATGTGAAAGCCTTGTTCTTTTACTATGCCAAAGAGAAAGGAAAAAGAACAAGACAGGTTTAAGTCAATCTTGCATTTCAATATTACAATAAAAACAAAGCTTATTATATTTCCCGGAGGTTGAACCTTTTTGTTTCTCTCGTTACCAGTTTGAACACTGTTTTAAATGGAAATAAAACAATGGCATCTTGTGCTTGAAGACGTTTAGAAAATGTTCATCCCACTCAACAAGGCGTTGTTTGAAACACCTTTTCTCTCTGTTTCCTGAATAAGAGCGCAGCTCTTTTCCTCTGAGGACCTCGGCGTGTGGGCTGATCCTTGTTCTCGCCAGGTGGCGATGGCCAATCCGTCACCCCTTTTGTTTTCTGTCTGTGCAGAGGCAGGAGGTAAGAAGCTGCGGAGCACGGTGCAGAGGAGCACGGAAACAGGCCTGGCCGTGGAGATGAGGAACTGGATGACCCGCCAGGCGAGCCGGGAGTCCACCGACGGCAGCATGAACAGCTACAGCTCCGAAGGAAAGTGAGTGAGGCCACCTGCGACGCGCAGCCCTCCGGGCCCCACTCTCTCTGTGGTCACAAAAACTGCCTCCCACACTGCAGCGCCATCTTGGTTTTTCACTGATTTGCTGTGGAGGGAACGTGGCTCACCTGCCACGGAGAAATGTGGCATCCTTGGCTTTTTATACCGGGGACCTAGGTCTGGGGATAAAATGTTGGGCTTTAATGGCAAGATGCTAAAATGGGACTTTCACAATGCATGCGATTGAAAATCTGCCCTAGCTTGAAACAATACACCTAAACGCACAAAAATAATCAGCACTCATGCCACTGCTGTGTGAACAATGCTGATTTTAAAAATCTTTGCTCTGAGACTCATTACTGCAAAGTACAGAACACTGCTGGGTACCTAGTTCCATGCAGTAGCAAACAGCACAAAGGTAATAGCCGAATGCCACAGCTTGGGAGCCTTTCTTGTACGTAGTTACCACGCAGCTTCCCCTTGAGTTGGCTGCACCTGAGATACTGTGGAAGCATTTATGAAGATTGTGTAGCCTTGTCACCAACAATCTAACAGTAATTAGCAACTGCAGATCAGCAGATGGGTGCATAAGTGACATTAATAGAGGAAAGTGGGGGGTACTGACTTCACTCTGTCATCCCCACGGAAGCATCAGCTGTTTAGACAACACACATGGGCCAGTTCACCGGTGTGAGGCCATAGGCAGTGCTGGCAGAATATTCATGATATGTCCTATGGACCATTTATCTAGCACGATTCTATAAATAGAAGAGCTGTATATGGCTTCTCTGCATTTATAAATAAGGTTATGTGGGATACTTATGGAAACATCACAATGTTTGGATTAACTGTGTATTTGGGGACTAAGTTTGAGGGAAGACAAGATTCGATGTGAATCAAGGATGCCTTAAAAGAGAGGGAGATTCGAGTACAAAGTCAATGTGCACTGAGCACTCGTCTTTGCAAAGCACCATGTTAGATAGATACGTTAGGGGTATCAAAAGTTTACGCTGCCACCCCTCACTTCAGATGTTTATAGTCTTATTGGAGAAATGGATGAATACTCCTAAATTCATTCAACAAACAGAACTTAGAACTCCTAGAGTTCTGGGCACTGTGCTATGAGTTGAGGATATAAGCCATACAAGGAAGCCAAAATCAGTGGGTGGTTAAGACCTTGGACTTTAGAATCATATAGGCTTAAGTTCTCATCTGTTTTTTGGCACTATAGAAACTTGGGTGAGTTTCTAGGCTTCATTTTAATTAATTGATTGAGCTTAACAATTATTCATTAAGTGCTTACAATGCCCCAGGCACAGTTCTAGGTGCTGGAGATGTATCAATGAACAAAATAGAAACCTATAGTATAGTAGACAAGATAGCCATTAAAGAGGAAAAACTATTAAAATATGTAGTAGAGCCCTAACCGGTTTGGCTCAGTGGATAGAGCGTCGGCCTGCGGATTGAGAGGTCCCAGGTTCGATTCCGGTCAAGGGCATGTACCTTGGTTGCGGGCACATCCCCAGTAAGGGGTGTGCAGGAGGCAGCTGATGTTTCTCTCTCATCAATGTTTCTAACTCTCTATCCCTCTCCCTTCCTCTCTGTAAAAAATCAATAAAATATATTTTTTTAAAAATATGTAGTAGATTAGATGGTCTAAGTTTTAAGGTGAAAAACAAAGAAAGGAAGGGAGATGATACAGGGTATGTGTAAAGTTTTATGTAGAGTAGACAGGGAAAAGGACACATCTAAGTAAAGATCTGAAGGACATTAGTGAATACATGGATATCTGAGGGAGGAACATTCTATGCTGAAGGGGTGCTGGGCCCTGAGGCAGGAGCTTGGCAGGCGTCAGCAGTGGAGGGCAGCACTGGAGTAGGGCAGAGGTGGTAACAGACTAGGAATTGAGACGTGGCGAGCAGGGGTGGACAGTTTGTGTAGTCTGTACACCTCATTGTAAGGACTTTGCTTTTACTCTGAGGGATGAGAAGTCAATGGAGGGTTCTGAGCAGACCTCACTCTGCCTGCTGTGGGGGTGGCGAGCAAAGGTGGCAACAGGGAGGTCCCTCAGAAGGTTGTTGCAGTCATGCAGAAGCTGGAAATGAGGGCTTGGGCCACAGTGGTAGCATTATTGGGGTCAGATTCTAGATGTATTTTGATAGTAGAGCCAGTAATATTGATGCATGTGATATGACATGAGAAAAAGAGAGTGTCTTAGTTTGCTAGGGCTGCCATAACACAATACCACAGACTGGGTGGCTTAAACAACAGAAATATATTTTCTCATAATTCTGGAGGCTGGAAATCCAAGATCAAGGTGTGAGCAGGGTTGATTTCTCCTGAGGCCCCTCTCCTTGCCTCGCCGTTGGCCTCCTTCTCACTGAGTCCTCACGCGGTCTTCTCTCTGTGGGTGCATGTCCCTGCTGACTCTTCCTCTCCTTAGAAAGACACCAATCCTATTAGATTAAGGCCCCACCCTTGTGACCTCACTTAACCTTAATTAGCTCTTTAAAGGCCGTGTCTCCCAATAGTCATACTGGGGATTAAGGCTTCAGTACATGAATTTCCCAGAGGGAGAGGGAGGGGGAAACAGTTCAATATATAACAAAGAGCAAAGACATCTCCAGGATTAATTGAAAGGGTAAAGTTGGGGGTTCAGATGGGGACCCTCTGAGGGGAACAGAGTTTGTGTTTTTTGTTTGCTTGGGGTTTGGGATAAGTTATATTTCATTGCCTATTAGCCATCCAAGCAGATATGTTGACAAAGCAGTTGGAATACAGGTCTGCGGCCCAAGGGAGAGTCCCAAGCTGGAGATGCCATTCTAGGCAACATCAGTATAGAATTCAGTGGTTCTCAACCTTCTGGCCCTTTAAATACAGTTCCCCATGTTGTGACCCAACCATAAAATTATTTTCGTTGCTACTTCATAACTAATGTTGCTACTGTTATGAATCGTAATGTAAATATCTGATATGCAGGATGGTCTTAGGCGACCCCTGTGAAAGGGTCGTTCGACCGCCAAAGGGGTCGCGACCCACAGGTTGAGAACCGCTAGTATAGATGGTGTTTAAAACCATGAGACTGGACGAGGTTACCACGGGAATGAGGGCGTGGAAATGATAAGCGGTCAAAGGATCAAGCTCCCAATATTTAGGCAGAGCTAGCAAAGAAGACTGCGGTGAAGTGGCCAAAAAGTAAAACCAGGACTAGAGTCTGGGAAACAAAGTGGAAAACGGGTTTCAAGGAAGAAACAGGCATCCATTGTGTCAAATGACGCTAAGTTAAATCATACTAATTAGTACAGAGTATTAGCGGTTCAATTTACCCCTGCGGCTACTAGGTAACCTTGATCAGAGACATTTTAGTGGAGAAGATAAAGCAAGGAAGAGAGCAAGGAAAAACGTAGTAGAGTTTCAAGGGAGAGTGAGAGGAAAGACATTGAAGACAGCACACAGAGACAACTCTTTCGAGGAGTTTCAGGAGAGAAATGGGGTGGTAGCTGGAGAGCAAGTGGGGTTAGTGGAGGGAATTTTTTTTAAGGTGGAAGAAATAATGGTATGTTTGTGTGCTGGTGGGAGTGATACGAAAAAGTTTCTTCATCTATAAAGTGGGTTAAATAATGGAATCTATCTCCTAGGGCAGCTAAGATGATCAAATATGATAATGCCGGTCACGGAGTAAGTGTTCAATATGTCCTGAGTGCTATTAATAGAAACCATAGTCCATGTCCTCCAGACAAGGAAGAGAAAGACACATACTCGGAAGCCTGCAGTCCAGTGTGACCAGTGCTCCTGGTGACACACATGGGCCGCTAGAGAATAAGTAGGGAGGACCATGGGATCCAATCAATGCAAGTGGCCAAGCAGTGGTTCCCACAATTCCTACAGGAAGGGGCTACCGGGAAACCTGGGCTGGCTGATTGGAAACAGAGGTTGAGGGTTTAATCCCATGTGTTATTCTGCTTTTAGTCTGATCTTCCCTGGTGTCCGCTTGGCCTCTGACAGCCAGTTCAGCGATTTTCTGGATGGCCTTGGCCCTGCCCAGCTAGTGGGGCGCCAGACTCTGGCTACACCTGCAATGGGTAAGGATTTCTGTCGCATGATTCTGTTGTTGTTCTTTTAGATTGTGGAGAATCACATTCTTTCATTTCCTGGGATTCTTAACAGTATTATCAGCAGGAATAAGTATTTTATATTTTAGCAATTTAAAAAAAATCTTCAACTAATTTTTTCCCCATTTCATTTATATGCTTTTTAAAGTGAGATGCTATTCATAAAATTTTGAATCTATATGAATTTAGGAAAGTAAATGGGAAATGATGAAATGATGTTAAGCTAAGGCCTTTGGATAGCACTTTTCTGACTGCATTTGTGTATTAAGTTCTGCTTGTTTCTCCCTCACATACAACCAGGTGACATTCAGGTGGGAATGATGGACAAAAAGGGACAGTTGGAGGTGGAAATCATCCGGGCCCGTGGCCTTGTAGTCAAACCAGGTTCCAAGACACTGCCAGGTAAAAGCAGAAGAGATTCTTCTATTATTGCTCACAATCCACATCCTGCAATTCGGAGACTTTGTTTTTTATTAGCTGCTGAAAACTTTGTTTTCAGGTCATCGAGGATTCTAACATGAGTCAGTTATCTGTAGTAGTTTGTGTGTGTGTGTTCTGAGTGAGCACCAGTGAGGGAGGTCTGGTAGGGGTAATAGATGTTGTTAGATAAGTGCGTACGTGTGTAGTAGAAACCACTGCACAATAAAAACTACCACACAGATCGTTCACTTTGTACAGCATGTCCATTACTAATTCTTTTTCTCATTAGCTGGTGTTTTGTGTTATTCTTCGATTTATCTGGAGCTTCAAAATTTTCCTCGGGAACCCTTAGGTCCTGGAATTAGAATAAAAACAGATACAGGCCCCAAAGTAGCATAAGCCTGTTTATGCAGGTCATTCTCATGATAAGACTGACTTCCTGTAGTGTATAAAGGAAACAAGGCATCGTGATCAATTTTCACGATGCCACATATTTCGTACTGAAGGCGTGCATGTACTGAGTTGCTTGTAGCATGGGCAGTGCCTCAGACTCCTGCACTGTGCAGGGATGTGTGTCCGGATCTGATGACAGAACAGCTACTGAGGATTCTGAAACGAAGTTTCTCACCTCAGCACCTCCACGGGCTGGTGGTGATTTTGAATCTCTTAACTTTGCCACCCCTGCAGAAATTCTAAGTTATAACGTAGATGACCTGCTGTCCAGCCTTGCGGTGGTGACTGAGGCAGGTGTATTTAGACAGCTCTTGGAGCGAGTCGACCCACTCCCTTGGACAGATAAGATCATTTCTACACGCATGAAAATGCTTTCATGAAGAGCCTGTCAGATAAATCTCAAGCTACGGAATTCAGAATTCGTTTCCTCTTCCCAGCTAATTGGACATATTATACAAAACCTCAGCCTCGTCGTGTGCCCACACCACCATGAATAAACAAACTCTTTGTGTTTATTAAACAAATTTACTCTCCAAATAAAAACCCCCTTGAGTGATAACTAAGTGATTCATGGGGATGGGTGAATAAAACAATATAGATTAAAGCATGTCTGATTAGATTGAAGTGTTGACAAATGAAAGAGTAAGAGGTCTCCCTTGAATACTGGTAGGGACTAGAAGCATTTGACCTTAGTTAATGCAAATCTATGATGGCAAATTAGTAATCATTTCAGAGGCTGTCGACATTGCCTAAAACTGCCTGAATAGCTAGCTGATAGTTACCTTTTGTCTCCCTAACGTGGAAAGGCCGGTGACTGTGGGTTGCCAGCTCTTTCTGACAAGGTTAACCTGTTGCAGATGTCACCCATGAGTTGGGTATTTCATAACCACAGCGCATCACTTCACTCTCCTCTGTCTTTTCTTCCCCAAGCACCATACGTAAAGGTGTATCTACTGGATAATGGAGTCTGCGTAGCCAAAAAGAAAACAAAAGTGGCACGAAAAACGCTGGAACCCCTATACCAGCAGCTGTTATCTTTCGAAGAAAGTCCCCAAGGAAAGGTTTTACAGGTATTTATTGAATTGTTAATCCCTTACCTAGGAACGCGCTTTCATGGAGTCAGACCTTGTCGCCAGCATCCTTACTTACCGCGTGCTCTTCTGTTCCTCACCGCTGAAATTCTTGGGAAACTTCAAAGCAGTGGCCCGTGCTATAAAGCTACAGACACTGTTGTTTCCTTTAAAGTGAAGTGTAGACTAGCCAACCCCATTACATGTGAACTCCAACCTCCCTGGACTAATTATGGTCTTCACACTTCATAGAGTTCCCCTAATACACCTTTGGATTCTAGTAGTGAAAGACAGCGATCCCAGTAGTCAATACAACTATTTAACGTGATGTTTGATACCATCACTGAATGTATTTTAGTTTACAAGTTTTTACACACATGATTGTACTAACATTATTCTCCTTTTTATTTTGCCAACAGATCATTGTCTGGGGAGATTATGGCCGCATGGATCACAAATCTTTCATGGGAGTGGCCCAGATACTTTTAGATGAACTGGAGCTGTCCAACATGGTGATTGGATGGTTCAAACTTTTCCCCACTTCCTCCCTCGTAGATCCAACGTTGGCCCCTCTGACAAGAAGAGCATCCCAGTCATCTCTGGAAAGTTCAACGGGACCTTCTTACTCTCGTTCATAGCAGCTGTAAAACTGTTGTCATAGCAACCAGCGTTACAAAAAAAAAATCACAGGTCGCTAACCCTGGTAACACTGCATGCTTAATGTTGTGTCTTCTGAGCCTGTTTCTAGGGATACAAAGCGATCCTGTGTTCTCAGAGGAAGTCGCACACATTGTGCCCTAAAGAAGGCCCTCCGGTGAGAGAGCAGCGCGGTGAAGAACTGTCAGGTTTGGAGTTCAGTAACACTCAAATTTTGGTCCAATCTGAAGCCATGGATTAATCTCAAAGAATCAGTCAGTCTCATGCAACAAAAGCCCTTTTCAATGGCACCTTTATCTTTTTACCGTTCCTTTTTCTTCATTTCTCTGACCCCCAAAGCCCTGCTATGCCACAGAAATGGAGTGAGCGATACAGCCACTAAGCCATGTGATAAGTCAAGGAGTGAAGTCTAGGAAGCATCAGGTGAAAAGCAGGAGACCAGAGCAGTGGTCCGAGGCAGAGCGTCAGCCCTCCCCGGGCAGCGGCCAGGCCAGCGTGCACCGGGGCAGACCTCGGAGCCCCAGCAGCCCTCACTCCCTCACGCCAAGATGTGTTGGACTGTGGGAAACAAAATTCTGTGGCTACACTGTACTGAATGAAATCAAAGAAACCTTTCTGCATGGACACAGATTAGCTGAATACTTAAGTTATTTTCTTGGGGCTGCAACTTGCAAAAAAAAACACCAAACAAACAAAAAAAAGAATAAAACTCAGCCATTTTCAACAATTTATATTATTTTTAAAAATAAATTTCACTAGTGCATGGTTTTAAAAGGGGGCAAGAATGCAACAGGGTGATACAAAGACACACCATGTTTATTATTTAATCATAGTCTGTGTTTTGGCAGACATTACAAAAGAAAATACTTTCTAGAAGTTCCTTCAAATTCTCTTTGTGACAAATAAGTGAATATTCCATTTATTTCCATGTTAAATATACATATCTAATGAAGTTCAATATGTGCAAATTGTTCACATCTTTCTCCTTACTTTTCTTCTCCTCCCTCTTTTAATCTTTTATTTTCTTTCTCTCTACCAGAGTGAACTTTATTCTAAACAATTACCAGTTTTTGACCTGATACTCTCTTGTACCCCAGGTTTGATTCAGAGCCGTTGATGCTTCTGAATTTATGAATTTCTCAAGGGGAAAAAATTTAAGAGCTTTCTGTATTTCAAGCATGTTGGAAAGGATTTTGCAACATGACTTGGGAGTGCACTAAAGTAAGTCAGCATGTATTTGATAAGGAAGATAGTTGAACTTTTGCAATGTGTTGTCCAGTGAGTGCATGGTAATTTTATTTTCGCCTTCCAAGTTTAGTTTACAGGAAAATTCTAAAATCATGTGGCCATTGTAATGTCCAATGAATTTGTTTTTAGCACCAGCATTATTCATACAGGGGTTAAAGTATTATTTCTACAAGGTCTTGGGTTTCGCTTTTTAATTAATTAAAGGAATTTTCTTTATCCAGTTTCCATTTGCTATGTGAATAGAAACACTGCTAAAACTTTGGGGCCCTGGAACACAGGGCTGTTTATTAATTCATTTTTTTCTGTAGTAAAAATTCAATTTTTCACAAATTGTATTTCTAAATAAATAGAGTAAACATGAATTTGCAATAAATAATTTTAAAGCTCCAATTTTTAGATGACTCAAAGGCAGTCGTTCTGCCTATTCATAGTTCTTTGATGCCATCACCAAAAGTCCACACACAAATCCCAAGTCAGACCCCTGTCTTTGATTTTACAGACAGTTATTGCCATTGGGTGGTGCTACGAGGTCAGATTTCTCTTAAAGGCTCCCCCCCCCCCCCATGGGGGGAGCGGAAAAGTCGCTGGTTAACGTAATAAACCACCCGGACTTCCTGTTTCTTTATGTACACTCTGTAACACATAGGTTGATTTAATCTCTTGCAATGACTATTGAAATCCACATCCATGTCATTTCTTTAAGGCCATGCACAAAAATTGCTTTTTTTTTTTCCTTTCTCTCTTTTTAAATTGAGTGGTGACCATTTAAAACTATCATGCTTGCTATGGTGCAAAAGTTAAAATGAGTATCACTAAAAATGCCTTCTCTTTATGTGGTGCGATATGAAATAACACCGAGATTGTGTCTTGGCATTCTGAGATCTGTGATGGCCCCGGGCAGAGCCGTTCAGAGAATGAGTAAAACTTGACCGAAGTAATCTAGACTCGTGTGTACCAGCAACAATTGGTTCCATAGACCTACAGAGTCTATCCTCTCCCTTAGAATAAACGTTTACCATTCCCCTGACACTAAGACGCGGTCACATAATCTTTTGTGTATATTCCTATATAAATTCTTTCTAATTTTAATAAGAAGGACATGACTGTATGGAATATTTGTACATACGTGTCATTGTGCAGTATTTATTTAAAAGTTGGTGTATTTTTTTTTAATTTTCACATGTCTGCACCTCGACTTGTGGTTTAGTCATGTAAATAGCACTATTCCGGTGACCATTGCTGCCCTGTACATAGTATGTTTTAAAACTAAAGGGAATTCCAGTTGGAAAATAAAAAAAAAAAGGGCAGATTAGTCCTGTAAAGAACACCAACTAATGTAAATCAAACTCATTCTGGTGATGGTATTTAACACTTTAAATAAAACATTTTTCTTTACAGACTTTGTATGCATGACTTTCTCTGGTTTCTCTTCTCCTGACACCCCACCTCCCCACCCCCACCCCAAGCTGGCTGCAGCTCATTCCTTGGACCCCTGTGGTTTAGAGACAGCGAAAGGATCTTTCCTCCCTCTACCTACCAAGCAGACTGCTGGTCTTAGCAGACGGCCCTCCGGAGAGCAGTTCTTTAAAGTGCCCGAGGATTTCTGCTCGCGTCATTAAAAGCTGCTGATTTTAAAAACGGTTGTTGCTCTGGATTGGGGTGCTTTCTGGTTAGATGCCTCAGCAGCTCGCAGGCTGTGAGTGGAATGGGTGGGGTTTCTGAGTCAGTGTGGCCTCCACGGATCGCAGGGTTACAGAGAGTCACCCGCAGGCTCTGCTGTCCTCGGGTGACAACGGCGAGGGTGACCGTTGGCTTTACAGTCTGTGTTCCACTGATGTGTCTGTCCAGCTTGGTGGGGTGGGGTGCATTTTCAGTTCAGGGCACAAGTGTGGTAACCTGACGTATGACAGCCTGTCCAGAGACCGGCTTCTCTCGTATGAGCATGAATGACAAGAGATTCTCTCCATAAACCACCAGGGCAGTTGCGTAAACCCGGAGTAGGAACCTCAGCAGAGTTCCAGGGGTGTCCTTCCTGGTTCCAAATTTAAGAGCTGGTTTGATTAGTTAGAAATCAGCTGAAATCTAAACCTAGTTCTCTCTTCACTCTTGAAAATAGTCATTTCTTCCATTTCCAAGGACTCATTTCCAACCCGGTCCCCCATACCTATCCCATATTCTTTCATTGCTCACCAAGCACCTCCCACTCTAGCGAGCTCTTTCTCTGCTGTTCCTACACTCCTATTATAGTAATACCCTTGCCTTATAAGCCATCTCCTGAGAGCCCTTCCGCTTCCTCAACGTAATCCATGTTAGTCCCTTCCTGCAACTCCCTGCTCAGCACTGAGGTCTTAGCAGGTCCTGACCAGGCCTAATACTATGGCTGCCACATCTTCATTTCCCCGGGAACTCCACATGCCCGGGCTCCACAGCAACAGTAAGGACATGCTGGTCACTCTTAGGGGCTGTGACCCAACTGGTTAAAAATACCAAAGCTGTCTGCCTGGACTGACCCAACCACTGTGCACATATAAGTCATGTTCTTCACTTGTTTGTCTCTCCTCAGCCCACGATGCCCTCAACATCCTGTGGGCATTCATGGACTGAATAAACCAATTCACGCACACGCCTTAGCTTTGTGAAATGTGTATTGAGAAGCAGCAATATATGAGGAAATTAAGAACAACTAACGGTGCCACTCAAAGTCTCCATGCGGCTTGACTCAAATCAATCTCTCCGGCATTTCTCTCTCTGGGAAATGAGCCTAAATTAGATAACTCTTCTATCAAATCAAAACTTTGGCTAACATGGAAGCTCTATCAAGGAAGGGACCATATCTTTTTTTCTTCCCCTTTTGTATCCTCAGTGCCAAGAACAATGCTTGGACACACAGGCGCTCAGTAAACATCTGCCCAATTAATGAATATCTAGTCCCTGCTATTTTTGTGACAGTGTTCTAGGCATTGTAGTGAATAGAACAAGCATAGCCCTGTCCTCCTGGGGTTTTGATTCTACTAAAGAAGACACACATTGGGTAAAAAAAAAAGTACTGAGAGGAGTTAGCTTGACACGCAGGCAGATAGGACAGGGGTACAGTGAAAAACAAAGGCAGGTGGAACATGAGCAGAGGCAGACACGGCAGTTTGAGCCAGCCTCATTGCAGGAACCATGCAGAAATAATAGAATGTTTTTGGACTCGGAGCGGGAGGCTTGTGAAACTAGGGAGGGTCTGCAGCAATAAGGTGAACTGAGGCATAAGAACAGGGAAAGTTCAGGTCCGTTGCTGGGCAAGAACAATTGAGGGAATCAATCAGGTGGCGACACAGGTACATATAGAACAGGCTTATAGCAAATATATACCCCTAGACTACAAGGCTTCAATGGGAAACTCATTATTTGGAACCCTCCTCATGCAGGGAGTCAATCTCCTTGTAATAAATTTTCTATGCTTTTGTTTAAATCTTCTGGTCCACGGTGCTCATTCTTCGGCTTTAAGAGACATGACCCCAGGGAAAAAACTTGGCTCCCCCTTATGGTTATCAGTACAATATGATAGCTTTCCAAAAGGGAGGCTCCCAGGATGCTATGGGAGCATACAATAAGTGTTTTAACCAAGTCAAGAGGATCAAGGATGTGAAAAAATGAACAAGAGTTAAATAGAAGGAGGTGACACCAATGGGGGATGGGAGTGAGGTAAAGAGTATTCCAGTCCGAGAGAACAGCAGGTAAGAAATTTGAAGGAAGGGAACTGTGACTACCACTTTTATTACCGTAAAGAGTGTCTAAAGCAATAGCATTCGAAGTACAAATGAATTAATGAATGAATGAATATGTGAATACAAATTTCTGCAACCTGGGGTATTTCTAAATCATTGAGAATTTCATTGAGAAACTAGTTTTAATTTAAACTTGATGTGAGACCTATTTGTAAAGGGCTAACCTATATAATTATATTTTAAGTGACTCTCAGAATGCTATTCAGTCCTTAATTCCATTCGATTGTTAGGACCCTTTGAACATAGGGACCATGGCCTGTAGTACCTAGCTCAGTGGAATGAATGAATGAATGAATATGTGAATACAAATTTCTGCAGCCTGGGCTATTTCTAAATCATTGAGAATTTCATTGAGAAGCTAGTTTTAATTTAAACTTGATGTGAGACCTATTTGTAAAGGGCTAACCTATATAATTATATTTTAAGTGACTCTCAGAATGCTATTCAGTCCTTAATTCCATTCGATTGTTAGGACCCTTTGAACATAGGGACCATGGCCTGTAGTACCTAGCTCAGTGCTGAGCACATGATAGATGCCAAACACACACTCATCCTTAACAGTGAGCATCCCCTTCAGATAGTCTCAGAAAAGTTACTGTTGTCAACATGGAGACTCCTGAACCCTAAAGTTTATGTTCATAGTTTGCATATGGTTGAGTCAAAAAGACTTTAAACCTGTGGTGTTCTCAATGCTTTTTGAGTACCAGCCTTCTGTCATTTTCCTTCAGGGCAGTAGACCATTTTATTTAATACGCATCCTTTTCTGATCCATCCATATTGCTCCCATGAGACTTGCCATTGTCTAATGAGTCCCATTCTCCTGGCTGCAACTGATGGTGTAGAAGCTGCAGGCTCTTAAACTGGGTCAACCTGTACCCTTGACTGAGAAGATTTATTTGTTTGTTTTGCCTTGATACCAAAGATACCATCTCTACTGGCAGAAATGATTAGGGGGAAAAAGGACAGGAACTCCCAGTGGCTATGTTTTCTGATATCTGATGGAAGTTGGATTAAGATAAGAGAGAAGAAAGTCAACAAGGCCAAGTACAGATAAGAACTGGAGAGACCTTTAGATTTCGTGATCCTGGTTCCATTGTGACAGAATCAGCTGCATCCTTGCTCTTCCAAGAGAAACCACACATTCTAGCTATAATGAGTTGGGTTCTTGCTACTTGCAGTTATGAGTCCTAGTTAATACATTTGGCCAAGGACAGATCTTAAAAGAGTTGCTGAGGCTACGTAGGACAATCGCATAATATGAAGAGAAACCCTAAGAGGTGGCCATCTAACCTCTACGTGGCAAGTGGTTGGAGAAATAGACTCTGCAATATAGCCCGTTCTAAAGTCTCTAAAAGTTAGACGCTTCCTAAAGCCGAGCTTAAATCTTCCTTCCCGAACTGTACACTTCCAGGGACTAGCACTACCTTCTAGAATGTATAACATAGGGCTGATCCCTCTTCCACATGAGTCCTCCAAATATTGTCAGTGAGCTTATTTCCCCCAACTTTTAGAAAGCAGCATAGCAAATTGGCTGAAAGTGCCTGTTCTACATAAGAAAGTCTGAGTGGAAATATATGCTCTCTCATTTAATAGCTATGTAACCCTGAGTGAACCATTTATCCTGTTTTATCAACTATAAAATGGGAAAGCAGGAAAACAATGCTACCAACCTCACCAGGCTAAGAGGATTAGATGATATAACATAGATAATGGACTATTCTAGACATATATAAATACTCAATAAATATTAGCTATTGCTGTAGTGGTAGTAAGTAATTGTTTCCAACACTATTTATTCTTCTCTTTCCCAGGCACTTCTAATACCTTCAACCATTTGTCACTTAACTAGAAATCTTGCTTCTCTGTATATTCTCTCCAGAAGTAAGCAAATGACTCCAGCTGGGTACTGGCCCAAGAAGAATACTATGGCCTCTACTTCTATAAGCACAACCCATAATTCTGCTGCCTTTTTCTGTAACCACCTCACATAGTTCCTTCAGACTGGGCTGGAGGTTGACCAGATCTCCAGGACCCTTCTTTCGTGTACAGCTGCCTCATTCTGTCCTTATGGAATTTTGTTTTTAGCCAAGGACAGATATAAAAGTGAATTCTTGCTAAATTTTTTCCTTATTGTTTTTTTCAAATATTCCAGCCTGCCCAAATCATTATGACTGTCCTAACGCTAGCATAAACTCTGAATTAAGACATATCAGATATATTAGCTTTCACTGCCAGCTCTGTGTCACCTACAAATCTGATAAAGCTATTTCCTCTACTTTCATACATATCTGTAGTGAGATGTGGACTAAAATAGGCTCAAGATCAAACCCTCTACTGGTGCTATTAATTAATAGCCATAGTAGTTATTGTCATGTAATACATTATAGTTTACAAAATGATCTTAATGTACATGATCTAACTTAATCCTTATGACTACCTTATGAGGTAAGTAGTATAGTTATCTTTATTTTGCAGATAAGAAAACTGAAAAGTGGCATATCCAGATGCAAACCTGGAGCCTGACAACAAGTTATTTAATCAATTGTGAAACCTCTTCACCTTACCATCCTCCACCACACATTTCCCCACTTCCTCAGGGAATTCATTAGGGCCTTTCTCAAATGACTTGCT